CAGCAGGTCATTTGGCTGAGGTGTGTTGGAATTTCTGCCTTTGTTCCTTTTGTTGTTTTCCTCAGGGCAGGAAAATCTAGTAAAACTGCCTTGTTTAAAATCAGGGAGTTCAAAGACAAATTGTCAATTTTAATTTAATGTAGTTCCTTTTGAGACATTTTATAGTCTGCAGATACAGTAGGCATCTGGTGTACAGCCAACAGGAAGATGCAGTGTTTTGAAAGACTCCAGAAATTATAATTTTAAACCAGGGAATCTCCAGTTAGATGTGCTATTGAGTACTTGATGGGATTTTACATTAGTTTAAACAGGGATCATGAGAGCTATTGAATAGCGTACAGCCCCGAGATTCAGGCTAGAAACACACCAACTGTGGGAAACAGTGAGAGTGTAACAAAAGAATGTTTCTACTTGATTATCTTTTTAACAGGGAGTACAAAATGGCATTGACCTTTACTTTCTGGCATGAGGGCTGCATGGGACTGGCAGGGAAGTGATACCAAGCCGTAGCCACCTCTGGGTGTGGTCTGATGCGGGTGTGTTATAAGGAAAACTTGGTTTCTTTTCTTGTGCCATAGTGTGCTCTTACTTCATTAAAAGTACTATTACTAGCATGAAAGTAAGACTGAAATCAGATGCGTGAAGCTGACATCTTTGCCCTCAAATAATCTGATCATCTTTTCAGTGAGTGGAGGGTAGGTTAGTAGCTTCTTGGCTACTTTTAAAGTTAGAAGATTCTTGTAGAAAAGCCATCATTTGTTACTGGGGTCTTCAAAACTCTGCTTATTTTCCTCTGTGTGAATCAAATGGGGAAGCCCTTCAGCTCTTGGAGATGTGTGCCTTGAGGGCTTCGGAGTATTATCCATAATTGCAGGTTCTTAGAGGCTTTGGGAGAGGGGGGTGCTAATTAAGCTGGTATTGTCATTGAAGGAAATGTTTATCAAACTATGCCTTTAATGGGTCTGAGCTGCTGAGTCAGTTTATAGATGTTGTAAAAAATGTAAAACTGTAAGAATTAGTGTGAGGTTTCCATTAGGCACTTGAGATGTAGGAGTGAAAATTCTGCCAAATTTTTGCTTTATTGAAAGCAGAATTTTATCAAGTATTTCAGGATAAAATATAGGATGGTTTTATTGCAGCAAATGTGACTTTACCAATTTACCTTTAACGCTGAAAGTTACTTGTTTTTTGTTGGTGTGGTCTTGTATTAATGTGCTTCTTTATTTAAAAACAACAACAAAAGAAACCGCTATGGGGTTCATTCCCCAGTTCTCTTTTCCTGCTAGGAAGTATATGGTGAAATTTTTCAAAAGAGGCATAGGAAATAAGTAACTGGTATGCTGACTTTTGGTTTTATCTAGCTTAAATATCTGATCTTTTCTGAATATTTAATCTCCAAGATGATATAAACCATTCTGTTTTGATAACTAGTAAGCAGCCAGAAATAGTATGTGTTAATATTTTACATAAGTAATATCTGAGAAATGTCTTGTTGATGTAGAAGAGGCCAGTGCTACCTTATCAGTTTGTCACTGTGCATTAACTGCCTATGACTTGCCACAAAGTAATCTCTTATGAATGAGAAAATACCATTTTCAGTAAATCACTTTTTCTATCAGAGCCCTAATTTGAAACATAACTGCTTACAGGCAGTCGGGCTTTATTAATAAATGAACATATTCCTTGATTGTAAGTTTGAGGTATGAAGCTATCATTGAGGTATAGCTCTAGGGAAGGCTTTTATTCACTACAGTAATATAGCTGCTGTCATAGCAAGAATAGAGAATATCTTCACTTCCAAATGCAGACAAACATTAACATCAGGAGACCAACTTCACAATGTTGACAACACAGGGAGATCCAACTCTTATCTGTAACTCATTTAAACCATAGCTGTATAGCTCGAAGAAACTGCAAGCTAGTGTGATACAGAAGTGCTATAAATATTGTTTTACCAGTCAGCTACTTTTACTAATGAGTAGAGCATGAAGCTGAATCTTTTCAGTTGTGTGCTCATGCAGTGACAAGCATGTTACATGCAACTCCTGTGGATAAGAGATCTGAAGAATGTTTATGGGGAGTGCTGTTGGCACTGAACTTTGGATTTTTTTAAACCTCTGGAAATACGGAGTCATCAGCTGTCAATCTGATGCAGATTACTGGCACAAACATTGTGCTTCCCTGTTCAGCAGAGTAACTTGGGAAATTTTAGTACCAGAATAAAGCAATATATTTCAGTTCTTCCCTTACCTTTTTCTTAAATGGTTCAATCTTGAATTTTTTTCATCAAAAGGCTAGTTCGTTCTCTTATGTATTCTCTTAGAAGTAGATGTTTGGATCATATTGAAAAAAGTCAACAGGAACCATTTTCATCCTCTTGATTAATTTTGCCTTGCCTATATTTGGTACTGTACATCTGTGTTCTTGATTCAGGTTTAGCATTTAGCAATGTTTGGAAGGTTGAAACAAAATTTGACTGCTTCAGTGTTTTGTGGTGAGTATCTGGTGCTGATGTTCAGAGGGCTTCATTAGATGCCTTTGAACTTCAGATTTCACCACGGCAGTCAGCAGTTTGTGTAGACAGCCTCCTGTGTTGTCTCCAGGTTTTTATGGAATTTCTTGACCATCTTGATGAAATATTTTATGATGATTTAATGCTCTGTCACTTTTAAGGATTCTTGGAATACAGCAACTTGCTAGTATGTTTGAAAGGACTTCCATTTAAAAGGTAGATGCAGAAACTTGGTTTGTTGTTCAGCAGAAGGGTTCACAGTAATGCTGTCCTCCAGAAATAATACTGCTTCAAGTGTGTGCTTACTTATGAGTTCTACCAAAAGTAGCGCTTGGCTTTGGGCAAGTGTTATAGATGGAGCAGAAACTTTTATCTAGGAATAAAACTGGTTCAGAACAAAGGACTGGGAAATAAACTTGAGTATTTATGCTGGTAAGAATGGCCTGAGTTTAGTGTGGTGGCTTTTTTCTTTTTTTTTAAAAAGACTGGAGGCATTTTCTGTTTCAGAGATTTGGCTTGTATTTTTACCAAATATGCTTCCCTTTCATAGGACAGCATGAGCCCACTATATTTTTTTGTAAGCAATTGTTTCTTTTCAAAGATGTGGGTTCTGCCTGCTGTGATCTTTCCTTAGTTTGGCTTATATGGCTAGAATTCAATGATTTCTCAAGCAGATATGGGTCAAATCAACTTGAGTTTAATGACTTGCAAACAAGTTCTTTTGGTTTAAAAATGTATTATGTTTCCAGTCTACTGCTGTTCAGTTTTGCTGAACAACATAGCTTGCCTTTTTGGTAGGATGTAAAGGGTGCAGGGAATCAAATGCTATGCTATTATCGGGCTTCGTTTTCAAAGGCTTCAAAATAGCTTTCTGTGATATCAAAGCCATGAACACAGACTACTGTGAAGCACATGTTCCTTGAAGATATTTCAGACACGTGGCACTGTGTGAAAGTCTGTCCTAATGGGGAGCTGCAGTAGTGAAGAAAACTTGTCCCAAAGGTCTTGAAAGTACAAGTTAAGTAGCTGTATTTTAGTGCGATTATCTTACACCATTTTTTGTGAGTTCCTACATAAGACACATATCTTCTACTTAATTTAATAGTGATGCAGTACTGTGATTTCACTGGTTACACAATGAAATCTCCTCTGCAACAAGAGGGGTAGCTGACTACTTATGTATGTACATATGCTTTCTAAGCACTAAGCATTAAGCAGGAGCGTTGGGGGGAAAAAAGCAACTGCTGTAGCCAGGAGCAGGTTTTTTAAAGTTGCGTTGGTACAGCTCTTAAATTTGCCTCAGGCCAGCATAGGGCTGTTTGCTGTTGAGATCATGTATGTGTAGCTACATTCTTCAGTTAAATCATGGATTAAATATTAATCATCAAGGACACTAATTTTCTTTTGTCATCCATTTAAGTTTACAGTCAGAGCTTTCTCTTGTTAGCTATTGCTCTTACTTAAATCATGCAGTATTGAGATCAAGCTGAATTTAGGCAAGCTTTCCATTAATCAGTTGTATTTAAAATGGAATCACTGTATATGTTTAATGAAGGCTGGTCATGTTTCTAGTTGGAGTTAGTAGCACCGCTTACTATGATTGCCCTGACTACTCATTTAAAGGACCTACTCTTTAGTTCCTTATAACTTTGTCAGACTTAATTATTAGACCAAAATTTTCTATGTACGTTTGTTTGTTTTAACTGTATATTCTGGAGACTTTCAAGAGTTTCACTAAGTTTAATCAAGAACAAGGTGAGGGGAAAGGTCGTATAATACCTGACAGTTTTTTCTTAGATAAGCAGTGTCTCCACACCTTCTAGTAGAATATAAAAATGAAAGCAGCATCCTTCTCCTGTTCCTTTGAATATAGGTAGTTAGAATATGCACTTGATCAGGTTTTTTCCTTTTCATTAGAAGCTTCTGCTTGCTTCTGCTAGTGGCTGATTGTCCTTGGGGCTGTCCTCAAACACATTGTACATGCTCAGCATCCTTCTGATCAGACTGAATGAATAGTCTCTTTACCTTGATCAGACTAAGAACGCTTCTGCAGAGTGTTCAGCATCATTCAGTTGAGGACTGCAGGACTGAAACTCTGTAAATAAGTAATGGTTGGGCTATGCTACAAATGAGTTGAGAGGGCATGGAGTTCTCTCTTCCTCACATCCTATACTTTTCTTTGACTCGAGCCTGAACAGCAGCAATAAAGAAGGAATGTTACTCAAGTGTGGAGGGATTGTAGCAGGAAAAGGCACAAACTTATTCATAGAATTTGAGGCTGAAGAAAAAATGCAGAGATGAGACAAAGAAAACTGACAGTTGGGAGATAAAGATTGAGCACAGGCTGGGATGGCATCAAGATGGAAATTGAAGAGCCGGAAGGGAGAGGGGGTAGTCTGGAAAGAAACTGGGAACATTAATTTGCTTGGGCAGAAATAGGTGGATTTGCCATCTGACAGATGGCTCCAGAGAAATTTTGGAACAAGAAGCCAGTGCAGGTATTGAGCAGCCTGTGGTTGAGAAAGAAGGGAAGGAAGCTGAATCAGGAGGTAAGTCAGCTGCAAACTTGCTAAGATGGAAGATCAAGTCAAAAGAAGAAACGAAAAAGCTGGGCTGCACTGAGCAGTCTGAAGTGGAGCCTGGAACTAGCTAGATGGAGCTGTGTGTGGGGAGAGGGATCTTGAGTTCTTGGTGACAGACAGTTGCACCAGGTCTGCTGGACAAGGATGTGCAGCAGCTACTCTTGTCAGTTGTGACAATGGTTCTAAAACTTTAAGCCCTGCTTGAGTTCTGGGAATATTAGCCTGAAGCAGTCTTTCAGACACCCAATGTGTTTTGATAAATACGAGATTACAAACATTTGATAAGGTTAACATTTTTGAGCTGTAACTTTGCATTAGTTTTGCAAACTGTTTGCCTTCATGGTATGCATTAATGCTGTATGGTATTGACTAATACTAGTCAATAAATAAACTGCCATCAATAGTATCATTCTACAGTACCTTTGTGTCATTTGGTGCAACACTTAGTGTTCAGTTTTTCCGTGCTTTGCTTACTTCAACATGTGACTGTCTCTTATTTCTCATGTGCTACTGAAATCTTGTTATAAAGCTAGAATTTACTTCTTTAGAGGTAGTAATTATTAGAGGATAAATATTTTTGACTGATCTTCCAAATGTGCCTGTTATCAAAAAAACCTCCAATCGCAGATTGAGAGTAAAGGTACTCCTGTGTATCCTTCCTACACTTCCTGTGGGAAGATTGAGAATATACAGTAATTTTCATTGGCTGTTTTGAGATGTTGAGAACTAGATTATTCTGATTTTTTTTTTCAGGTTATCTGGCTCCTTGTATTTAAAGTAGTTTCCACCAAATAGAATGTTTAGCTTCTATGTACAGATTAAACTCTTATAGAAAAAGCTATAGTCTTATTTCTAACACCATCTCACATTTAATGGACAAGCTTAGAAATGTTCTGTTGAGGATGAACATGTACAAATAATACATAATATTTTCACAGTGGGATCTGAACTCTTTTCCATAGTATATTCTTTTTTTCTTAAATTTTACAGGTTTTGCCTGTGACCCTCTTGTTAGAGAAAAGTTTTTAGCAGTTGAGAACTTCATGCAGTGACTAGTCAAAACCCGTGTGTGATTGCAAAATGTTGTTTCATTTGCTTTTTAAGAATATTAGCTACCTCTTCATTTCTGGAAATGGTTATTTCATCATTTTTCTTTTCACAGAATCTGAAGACAACACGGCCCAGATTGTTGAGACAAATGAGACAGATGATAAAGCACCAAGTCCTGAGCAGCTAAGTGATAAGCTAGCTGAAGATGTTGAAAAAGAAGAAGCAGAAAACATTTCAACAACTGAAGACTCTATTTCAGAGTCTATTTCAGCTGAACAAAGTGAAGAATCTTTAATGAAAGCAGAATAAAGTACTTCAAGTGCCTTCTGTAGCTAGTTTTTAGCTTTGTTCATGCCTGTTGTTACTATTCAGGTGAGCTTTTTTTAATGGTACAACTTAAAAATCTCGCTTGAGCTTAAACTGCCTCAACTGCCACAGTATGTCAAAGCTATGTGTAAAAGTGGGTATTGTAAATTAAGCATGTCTTTAAATAAGTTAACACACAGAATGTATAGTTGGTTGAAGTCTAACAGTTGTAGCCCTAGTTCAGTTTGCATATTTAAAAACTTTAAAGTATAAGCTTTGCTAAGGGTGACCTGTAATTTGGCATCTCTCTAGCTGTCACACATGAAGAGCAATTACTGGCAGCAGCTGACCTAATAAGTTTGGTCTAGTGAACTTAAGATACTTTTTAATGCTTCCCTGTTAAAATCAATTGAGTACATTTTAAATACACAGATGTTTACAAGCTAAAGTGTCATCCGACATTTGACTTAAGCCTATGGAAGTGTCATTGCGGCGGTGTTAATGTTATTCATTGTCTCACTTTTTGACAGAATTCAGTTAAATGGCACTCGGATAAATGGCATCTCCTTTGGTATTTGCATTGCAGATGAACCAAAGGCATGTACATACAAAACTGTTTTGTGTTTACATAAAATATAGAAAGTCTCTGCACTTGATTGTACTTGAATACAAAGCACTATTTATACCTGTATAATAATGACAACATATAAGTGAATTTTGTGCCTTTGTGTATTTTGTTAAAGGAAAATAAAGACATCTAGCAGCAATACTTGCTTTGTGATTCCTAAAACTGAAGATAATTTCTGTTCTCCTGTATGCAGCTATTCTACAGTTACTTTGTGGAAGTTCAGAAGGAATATGACACCTTAAAAGGCGCAAGTCTATATATAGCTAAGGTGGCTTTGATAGAATAGAAATAGATGCCTGACCAATAGGGGAAGCAGATGTGCATTTGACAAAAGACTTTCCTAACTGTGCCTAAAGTCTGTTGATACTATTTATTGTTAAAATTACAGTGAATATTTGCTGCTGGATTACTGAAACTGTACTTTTTTTATTGTATAGCTTTTCAAGCTAAGGACACTTGTTATACATTTCCTGTTAAATATGAGTTGGGAACCTGGAGTAGAATTTTTCTGGTGCCTGGAAGTGAGGTACCTAAATCAATCAGATTTTTTTAGAAATAAATGCTGATCATGTGTAACTTGGTTGATTTAGTAGTAGTTCTGGTGAGTTTTATCATGTGTGATGTTTGCTGTGTACCACACTATATGCAGAGAAGGAGGAACTTCAAAAACATTTTTTTATCCGTAGTCTTGGTCCCAAAGTGAACTGGTTTTACAGCATAAAGGCAGCAAAAAGCTAAATCTTAGTAGCTCAAAAGCCATCTACAAGAAAAACATTTCTAAACATGACCTTAGTATCCATGTCTTTATATGAGACATAATTATATGTGAACAGCAATGATTAATTTTCTTTTCCAAATATATGCTTTATTTTCTGATTCTTTGGGGTTAGTTAGAAGCTCAACCCTTACATCAGTCAGAATCAAGTTTGGTCTGTATTTAGATAAATGAGGAAATTTTTTTCTGGTTCACTAACTAAATTGCAATTCATATTTTAATTAGTAGTCTTCATAGACAGAATGTACGCATGTGATTAAAGGAGTACTTGTAGGTGTTTGGCTATATTCATATAAACAACAATTAGTAAAAGCAGGTAACCATCTTGTGTGTGACTATCTTAGTTGGGAATACAAAGAAAACAGTCCCTTTTCCAAACATGTCTTAGGGTGTGATAAAAGTACTGGGTACAAAGTGATAGGGGAATGCATTCTGTAATATTTTAAGACAATGTATTTTATATTCCAGAACTTCTTTAAAATAGAAATAATTTTGCCTGAAAGGTGACACAGCTCACTCATTATTTTGTAAGACTTTCAGATGTTAATCTCTACATTGTGTATTGTACCTCACTAACTTATCTGTTTAAAGGCTGGTGTCTTTGGAGAAAAAAAAAAACCCACAGAATATTTCAGTAGTTCAGCACAGTAAGTTGTTGGATGTATTTACGTTGTAAGCACTAAAAACAAGTAAAATTGGATGTTATGATCCCTCACGTGGGATATGAATGCATGAATTAATGTCACTTCAGAAGTTAAGATTACTGTAGGCCCATGTATTATTTCCTTTTAAAAATTTGTATCTTAAAATTACAAAGAGCCTGACACTCAGGTCCTTCCCATGACAAGCAACCACTGAGCTATCAGGTTGCTATATCAATCTATTGAATTGACTGATAAAATAATCTGTTGATACTGGAGCTATAGATTAAAATTTTTTCATTAGCCTGGAAGATGTCTGTTTGCAGATGTCCTGCTTTTGTCAAGGAAACTGTTTCTTCTTAGGTTGGGAATCTTTTTTTTTTTTTTTTTTTTTTTTTGTAAAAGGAGACTCAGTATCTGGTATGGGGTGGGGGGGACGGGAAGGCGTTATTTCTTCCAACATTCTTAAATGTGACATTAGCAACTTGCCACAGGAATGATTGATACTTTCTGTTTAATATGTCACTGAAGGATCAAGTAGAGACAGTCAACCTGATGTGAAAACAAATACTTGTTAAAATGTGAAAACCTAGCTTTATGAGACCTAAGACTACGTAGAATTTTTGAGGTGGAGAAGAATAAGTGAGTTTTAAGTACATGATAGAGTTTTCCTGAAAGGCTTTCGTACTAAAAAAAGTGTCTGAGCAGTTGTTCCCATTAATTGCTTCAGAAGGCTTGAAACAGATGTTAAGGATGCCCTGGTATTTTGGTAGAGAAAGATCTACTTTTAACTTTCTAATTTTTCAGGGTTTTAAAGCAGCTATAGTAAATGAGGTGGAGGGTTAAGTAATCTGTTAGTGAATTCAGGCTCAGGGAGATACATGTGATAGTAATAGACTTTGGGCTTTCCTCAATTTACAGTAAGAATTCATATGTTACTTCTGCCAATTATGTGTGCCCCAGTCCTGATACAAGTGTGAGAAGAGGATTCTGTTTCTGTAGCAGTCGCTTCTTGGCTTCTGTCTACTGCAAGTGTGGCAATAGTAAAAGATGCCTGTACAACAGGAATTGGATCGAAATCTAAAAATACCTGTCAGTGAACAGCAGTAGCCACACTTAGTCACGTCTTTGTAACCCCCAAAAACTTGTTAGTAGGCATATGTAGAGCAAAAAGGTACAACAATTGTCAGTGGTATTTAATCTAATTGCAGACTGACTCTCAAAAGATGAGAAGATGGAAGAAAGTAGGAGGAAAAATACAACAAATGCTAAGGTTCCATGTGTTGTTGTCTTCTGACTTCCTAATATGTACTTGAATCATAATTTTTTCAAAAGTACTTAAAAGCCTGGTACTGTGAAAATATCGCTTCTAAGAGATGTTATACAAGCCCCCTTTCTTCATGTGGCCTGGATGAAAAGCAAAATTGAGTGGGGTAGTAAAGCAATACTTGGCAGGCTTGTTGGTGCCATGTTTTTATTGCTTCTGAAATATTGTGAGTAATTGCAGAGATTATATATTAGGTGGGAATTATCTGGACTATGTAAAATCTGCCACGAAAGACAAATGAGTGTTCTAGTTCAAAATAAATTGAAATGAGTCAGTAAAACTTAAATTTGAACAAGAAGGCTGCAGAACAGGGAAATGAGGGAATGCTACTTCAAATTCTACTACTTATTCTAAAGGAGAACACAATTGATTACCCTTGGACATTTTGACAGAAATAGATCATTTAGTGGAATCTTGATATAAAGATGGTTTGTCTCAAGAAAGCTGTTCAGCTTACACGCAGGAAAAGCAGAAGCTCACAAGGAAAGGCAAATGAAGATGATGCAGAAGCTGACAATTTATGGACTGGTCTAAGGGTTATCAAAAGCCTATAACTAGGGGTGCATATGGTTGCCTTGAAGTTGAGAACAAGAAGGTTGAACCCCATGTGGTGCATGAGTAGAAGCCGATGGAATGATTTAAAGAAAAGAATGAGAGTGAAAAAGACGGGGGGTGGGGGAAGGAAGAGTGGTTTTGTCTGTCAGAACAAGGTCTTAATCAAGAGATAAAGATGATAAGAGCTTGAAAAGATTTTTCAGAAAATGTTGCAGGGTTTGCCTGTTACTACATGGCAGTACATACCCAGGTTAATATCATGATCTTATGTCAGAAATAAGGATGCAATTGATAATCAATCATATTGGAGAAATTTGCTTTTTAGAATTAATTCCAGAATAAGCAGATGATAATGACTCGGTAGAATAAGACTGTCTAGTTATTACTAGAGGTGATGGTAGCAAAGTTGCTCTTATCCTTTGTATTTAAACAGAAGAACTTAGAAATTCTTTTCTACTTCTAGGATTAGTGAAACTGTAGCAGTAATTAACTTTCATAACCTTATTAATCTTCAAAGGCTAGGAGAAGCACTTCTCTGGTGCATGATTCTGAACTTAGCAATATTTGTGCACTTGTAGGTCTGTGATGATGGATGAGTGAGTAGGCTAGAGGAAACTTCTTTATTCAATAGTTAAGTCTGCTGTTAAAAACTTCAAAAGTCTTAATCTTCATACAGTCTGAACATAATCAGTACAAGAGTACTGGATGTAAAGAAAGTTCTTCTAAATAAACTGCTTCTGGAGTGAGGTTTTGTTAGGTCTTGCACAATGAGAAAGACTGTCTGTGGGGTAAGGAATGGCTTCTCTGTGAATGTTTCACTAGAACAACCTTGAAGATTCATTTTGCATCTTTGTTGGCAAATAATCATTTGACCAGTTCACTGAGGGTTCTCAAGCAAAATCTTTAGGCCTTCATTTCCTTCCATGGCTTGCAGATTTTTTTTTTTTTTTTGCTAATATCTCTAAGATGTTCTTTCCCGTCCAGTCACACGGTTAAAAGTTAATGCCTCAGATCTCAGCATCTCATGTTTCAATTACTTTCTTGAATTCATAAATGCAAACCTGTCCGGATTTCTGGTGTAGTGAGCCTCTGAAGTTTCACATATATGTTTGTAGTGTATAGGAGACTGACTGTATAGAAGACACATCCCTAATACAAACTAATTTAAAAAAAGGCTACAAATATATCAAGTGCATAAACAGTAGGAGGAAAGT